AGATCAGAAGGAGGAATACCTGCCCTTGCCCGGCATGTCCTCACTCTCCCAGAGCTGGCAACAGTGACCACTTTTGCCATCCTCATTGCAATTCAGTTGGAAGATGGGGAGGCTGAGTTACAGAGAGGATATGGGGCTGGACAGAGTCTAAGTCTTAGTTTCCAAATACATCATGGTTGAGGGGAGAGCACTAATCCCACACTCACTCCCTTCATCCAGTATTCCTTTTTGAGGTCAATTAAACTTGCTGCTAACTTATTTCCTTTGTTAACTCCCATGAAGTTCCTGTTTCCCAGCGACTAAATCTTCCTGTCATGGGTGCCACTCGCAGCAATGTGCAGCCCCCCAGGAAAGTGGCAGTCCCAGGACTTACCAGGTCAGTCTGGTCCTCCCTTGTCCGTCCTGTCTCCCTACCCCGCCATCATCTGGGATCCTAAACTGTTATACACATTAGCCCTAAATTTTGCATGGAAAGATTGAGAGAGGAGGGAAGCTGGGGGCAGGGAAAGCGGGGGGGGTCCCATTTCTTCCCACCCTGAGGAGCTTGAACTCTGCTGGGTGACAAATGGGCTCGAGGAAGGACGGCATTTTAAAGCAGTTCTTCCTTCTGTCTCTTTAGGTAAAGAGGTCAGGACAGCAAGCAAGACTTCAGTAGTAAACCACTACCGTCAGTACCTGGACTCGCCTCTACCCAGCAGACCCTGACTCCAGCAGATTCTGGCCCAGGGACAGGAGGAAGAGATGCCACCAGGGCTGGTCCCCCGGGAGTAAGAGACCATGGGAAATGGGGTGGATTAGGATTGAGCTGAAGAAGACTTAAACTCTCTGGGTTGAAAGAAGATTAGGGGAAAAGAGGTCACCTTCCAGCAATGAAATGAATGAACAGAAATGAGAGGTACAGGCAAGTGGTTTGTTTTTATCCACCCCCACTGTGTGGTCAGCCCCAGAGAATTTGATCTTCTTCCCGGGCATGGGTTCACCGGACATTTCCATGTGAGTGGTCTCTGTAGCTAACCTCCCTGCTCTCTGAGGAGCCGTCTTCCTGAATTGCATTCTCTACTGGACTCCGGCATGCTTGGAGAGGCAACAGCAGGCACCTGGTCTTCAAAAATTGTTTCCTGTGAATTCTGTGACTCCTAATAGGCCAGTTTGTGATAAGCTTACTCTATCAGTCTTCGTTTTTCTAAAATAAAGTGAATGTATTTTTATATTCTCTGTATATCTGGAAGTCGATCCTGCTCTGATTTCTTTTTTTAGACAGTCTCGCTCTGTCACCCAGGTTGGAATGCAGTGGTGCAATCTTGGCTCACTGCAACTTCTGCTTCCTGGGTTCAAGCAATTCTCCTGCCTCAGCCTCCTGAGTAGCTGAGATTACAGGCGCCCGCCACCACGCCCGGCTAATTTTTTGTATTTTTATTAGAGACAGGGTTTCACCATGTTGGCCAGGCTGGTCTCAAACTCCTGACCTCAGGTGATGCACCCACCTCCACCTTCTAGAGTGCTGAGATTACAGGTGTGAGCCACTGCGCCCAGCCGCTGCTCCAATTTTTAACAAGTTTGGAGTAAATCTCCGTAATTCCAGGGAGGGGGCCAGGGTGGGCCTCCTAGGCAGGGGCCTGAATAGGCCCTAGGGCCTTGAGATTCTGGCTTATCAGGCTATGACTACTCCCCTTGTTGGCATTAGACAAGGACAGGCTGCCTTTCCCCAGGTCTCTTGTATCATTGGAAGGTCCAGATGAAAGTTAAGTGTAGCTAATTCACAGAATGTGAGGCTAATAAGCTAGGCTAGGTAGATTCTTTATTTAAACTAGAATGTCCTTTACTGGCAAAGGAATGGGGCCTCCTAGAAATGCAACAGCTTCTTTTCTTCTTTTTTTTTTCAAGGCAGAATCTCACTCTGTTGCCCAGGCTGGAGTTCAGTGGAACCATCTCAGCTCCCTGCAACCTCCGCCTCCCAGGTTCAAACAATTCTGCCTCACCTCCTGAGTAGCTGGGACCACAGGTGCATGCCACCATGCCTGGCTTATTTTTTGTATTTTTAGTAGAGACAGGGTTTCACCATGTTGGCCAGGCTGGTCTCGAACTCTTGACCTCAGGTGATCCACCCACTTTGGCCTCCCAAAATGCTGGGATCGTAGGCGTGAGCCACTATGCCCAGCCCACACCAGCTTCTTATTTGCTCTCCTTGTGAGACATGAAGGCCCTTTAGTGGTGTTCTACTCCCGGAGTCACCTCAGCCAGAGCAGCTGGAACACCTTGTCATCTCCAACTTACATCACTGGGGTTGCCTGCACTCTCTTCATCTCCCCGTTAGACTGGCGAGCATCAGGATCTGGAAACCTCTGCTGTGCTCTAGTGTTGTGACCTGTGTGTAGCACTGGCCACAGAGCATTTGGTTTATTTATTCAGAAAATATTTGAGTGCAAGACGGTGAGTGTTTGCTGAAGGAATGACAGAGACACATTTAACACATTTGGTATAGGGCTTCCCTTTTTTTGCAGCCTTTAACTCTGGTAATCAGAACCAATTTCAATTCCTTTGAGTTTTGAGGAAACTTCCCTCCTTGAAAGCCAGGCCATAACTTGAGAAAAGCAGAAGGTAAGTGGGCAAAGAGAAGTGGAACTGCAAGCTGGTGCCCCACCCATGCCTATACAGCCATAAATGCCTGGCTGAGACACCAAAGTGTCCTTGCCCTGTCCCTGGAGTCAGGGGCCTGCCACTGCTTTCTCCCTTTTGTGGCTGATCCCAAAGTTTACCTAGCACATTCACCAACTTCAGTGACCGTGCCTAGACACTTTTCCCTGAGCTCTGCAGCAACTCCTGCAGCTCTGGATTCCAGGAATTGGTGGGAGGGAAGGGGTATTCAGACAGACAAGGAGCATTTGGCTCTGGAGGAATTTGGTGTAAGGCAAGGAACTTCAGATGTGCTTCCCAGCTGTGTTCTGCACTGGTGTCTAGTGACCAGGGCCTGTTTTTGGCTCCTGGCCCAGTAGAAGCACTGGAAGGTCAGCAGGCTTAGGTACACACCTGGGCGAAGCCGGAAGGTGGCACGTTTTTGTGTGTTGGGTGTGAGCCATGTCCTGGGTGGGTCGTTAGAGGCAAAACAAGCTGCAGACCATGTGTTGTTGCCACCTGGTGGCTGGACAGGGCAAGGCATGTCCTTTTTGCCCTCTTGGTCAGCCTTGAATTTCGTCCCTACCCCACTCCCTCCCATGCCAAACCTGCTTCAGCAGCACTTTCAGTAGGCAGTGCCAGTCAGGGAGGAGCCCCTCCTGCCACGCTGCCCTTCTTGTTCAGCCACCTGCCTGTCTCCGTCCATTTGGGCCTGGCTTTCTACTTTTTCTGTCTATGCACTCTTCCACCGCACCCAGTAGCAACAACACTGAAAGCCGGTGTTTACTGGCCTCTCACTATGTACTATGAACTGTTCCAAGCACTACATGTGTTAACTCACTTAATCCGCATAAAAGCTCAGTTAGGTGGATGCTTTTATCATCATCCTCATTTTGCAGGCAGAGAAACTTATGCTTAGAATGATTAAGTCACTCAGTCTGGTTCCAGGGTTTGTGGGGTTTTTTGTTTTTTGTTTTATTTTTTATTTTTTAGACAGGTCTGGCTATATTACCCAGGCTGGATGCAGTGGTGTGATCTTCACTCACTGCAGCCTCTGCCTCCTGGGCTCACGCCATCCTCCCACCTCAGCCTCCCTAATAGCTGGGACTACAGGCACGTAGCACCACAGCTAGTTAACATTTTTTTTGTATTTTTTTGTAAAGATGGGGTTTCACCTTGGCCTCAAGTGATCTACCCACCTTGGCCTCCCAAAGTGCTGGAATGACAGGTATGAGCCACTGTGTCCAGCAGGGTTTGTCTTCTTAATCATCGCCCTATATTGTCCCCAGGTTAAATCCCTTTCTAGGCATTTTTTTTTTCTTTTTTTTTAAATAGGGTCTCGCTCTGTCACCCAGGCTGGAGTGCAGTGGCTCGATCTTGGCTTACTGCAACCTCTACCTCCCAGGTTCAAGCAATTCTCCTGTGTCAGCCTCCAGAGTAGCTGGGACTACAGGCATAAGCCACCATTTTCGGCTATTTTTTTTTTTTTTGTATTTTTAGTAGAGACCAACTTTCACCATGTTGACCAGACGGGTCTCGAACTCCTGAGCTCAGGTGATCTGCCCTCCTCAGCCTCCCAAAGTGCTGGGATTACAGGCATGAGCCACCATGCCCGGCTGCCTTTCTAGTTTATTGAGTGGAACTTTGGCAAACACACAACTTGGAACTAGGCTGGATGTGGTAGCTCACATCTGTGACCCCAGCAGTTTGGGAAGCCAAGGTGGGAGAATCACTTGAGCCTAGGAATTCGAGACCAGCCTGATCAACAAGATGAGACCCTGTCCCTATTAAATTTAAAATATATATACTTACAAATATATATCATATATATACAAAAACAAAACTTAGTACAAGAAGTATGTTGCAAAGCACACACTTGGCTTCATTATGAGTAGCTGCTTCATCTTCCAATGGGGAAAACAACAAAAAACCACCCAGGCAGCGTAGTTTGGAGGCAGTCACTTCCCACCACTCAGTTCCCACCAGCCTCTCAACTCAGCCCTCCCTGCCTCTTGAATTCTGCCCCAGAAAACTCATCCCTGTCTAGAACTGAGCCCTGAGGGGCTGGGCTGGAAGCCTGCCTGCCCTGTGCAGCCTCTCCTGCCATGGAAGTCCTTTCTGTCCTGGTGAAAAGGATGCTTTCCAGCCCACCCATGTCTTCCTTGGAAATGCCGGGCCATGGGCTCTGTGTTCTGTTCATGATCTGCCATTTGGGAGCGATGTCGTGGACACAGGTCAAGGGACAGGCTTATCAGCCAGTGGTGTCTGAGTCCCCCTGACCTGGTGGGGCCTTCTGGGCCCTGCCAGCTCTTTTGCCTTCCAGAGACCAGACCTTCCTCCCTGTGGGAGGAGAGGGTGCCACACAGAAGCAGACAGTGACAGTGCTGTACCCGCACAGAACTAGTTTATTCAGTAGTATGGGGCATGAAAAAACAACAAAACGCTACCATATTTACAGCAACAACCAAACTGTACAGTCGGATGGTTAGTATCAAGTTAGCATCCAGCATCTTTGTATTTCTTTAAGTCAAGTCATCAGTAGTAAAAACCAGTTAAATTTTTAACCCTTTGCAGGAATTGCTGAAGGGAGAGGGCAGGGGGAGAATCCAAGGCAGAAAAGCCAGAGCCCGGCCTCACAAGTGAGAAACAGGAGGCTCTCTTTCCTGCCCACAGCCTCTTTCTAGCGACCTGCTCCAGAAGGAAAGTCAGTGATAAGTCTGCAATACATGCTTGGAGTAATGGTGACTCAGATGAAAAGCAGTCAGCAAAACTGAGGAGAGGGGAGGAGAGGTGGGGAGATGACGGCCTGGGGCAAGGGGAAGGGCTGCTGGGAACACCCAGCCTGTGACGGCCACATCAGACCCCCGGGACTGGACACGAACCCATCCCAACACAAAAAGAAAATAAATAAAACAAATATATTAACTCTCTCTTCACAGGGAGCTGGGGTGGAGTTGGGGAGAAAGAGAACAGGACTTGGTCCTTTGAAGAAGAGAGCCAATTCCAAGAAGGGGTTAAAAATAGAACATGTCTCAGAGGCCACAGCAGGTCAGACAAAGTAGTGTTTGTCTGATTTTGGGGGACAGGGGTGGGTGAGTGGACACCAGAACCCAGACTTGAAACCTGTGTGTTAGCACCCTCAGGGCGGCGGAACCAGCGAGGTGTTCACTCTTCCTCCCGCCCCCACCCACACCACAGCAAAGAAGCGCAACTTAACACATGACTGGCCTGCCCCAGGTGCGGGGCGGGCAGGAGAAATGAAGCACTTTTGGGTCAGCAACTGAGCAAACACCTGGGCTGCCGCGCACGGCCAGAGTCCAGGAAAAGGAGAGGGGCTGGGGTGGCCTGACCCCCGCCTGGGGGCACAGACTCCCCTCAAAATGTGTTCATGCAGCATTTGGGGGTCCGGGGGCGCTGAGTCCTTCTGCCCCCTCGCCGGACAGGGCTTTTCCAGTTCCTGGGAGAGGCGGCACAGGCAGGGCAAGGCATGCCCTTTGCCCTGGCCCCTCACCACTCTGAGGCCTGCCCAGGTGCAGCCCGAAGGGTGTGACACCCTGCGTGCGTGTGGCTTTGTCCTTTCCTTTTGGTGATGGCGAATGAGGGGCAGGCCCCCCAAGAGTCCCTCTCCTCCCAGAGGCACAGCAGATGGGAAACTGAGGAGAGGCTGGGAAGCATCCTGGGAGGTCCTATCCTCTTTGGGAAGGGAAAGGGGAGTCAAATTCCAGCGTATAAAAAAAATGAATCCCTGAAGTCATGAAGAGTGGAGATCCTTTTTAAAATTCTTTTTTTCCTCTTTTCTGAAAAACTTTGTCTTGGAGATGTTGGCCCCAGGGGTCCAAAGTGCAGTGAGGGAAATGGTGGGGGGGGGGGAGTTGGCACTAGATGGCCTTAGGTGGGGTGGGTACCCCTCCCGGCAAGGCCCAGGCTCCTCAGATGGACGTTTCGTCGCTGCTGCGGGCAGGCGATGGGGAGCGGGGCAGGATAAAGCACAAGACAGGAGCAGGGCATGAGTGCGGCTGGGGAAGGGAAGGGAGCCTCGGGCGGAGGAACCACGGCCCAGGGTTAATGCAGGAAGTTAAAGAAGAGAAATCTGGAGAGGCAGGAAAGGAAAGTGGCAGAAAAGGCAGACAGAGGGTTAGTTGGAACAGAGGAGAGAGTGAAAGCTTTCACCAGGCGAAGGAAACAGGAAAGCATCCCCAGCTCCCCATCCTCCCGCACTCGCCCTAGGCTGAGCCCCGTAGGGCATGAGGGGTGGCCTGCCCCACAAGGCACCATGGTTTGTGGGGACAGCATAGTAAGGGAGCATAGTAACGGAGCTGGGCCAGCTCTGCCCATTTGTCCTCTGAATGCCAACCAGAGTTGCCTGGTGAGGCCCGGAGGCAGCTCTGGGCCCAGCAGGGGCCTTGGTAGGGCTGCACCGCATCCCACCCACCCGGCCACACTCACTCGGAGCCTGACGAGTCCTCATCCACCGTGCCTGCCTTGATGCTCATGGCGATGGGCATGACCCCGTTCAGCTGCTCCTGGAGGCTCTGCCGGGGTGGTGGGCGGGGAGGGGGGCCACCCCGGCTGCCCTCACTGGCAGAGGAGCCCCGGGAAGACCCTGTGCACTGCTCCAGGGGGAGCCGAAGGAGGCTGCTCTTCTCGCTGATGGTGGGCAGACACTTCTTCTTAAGGATGCCTGCGGGCCGGGGCAGGGCTGTGAGGTGCAGCCACAGGGGAATGTGAGGAGTGAGGCTGCTGATGGGGGGAGCGTGGCAGCTGGGGGTGCCCCACTCACCTTTGTGAGGCTGGGCAGAAGAGCCTGGAAGGGGGCCTAGGGACCCCTCTCGAGACAGGGCATCTCCATTCTCCCGCAGCCGCTCCTCAGGGGCTCCGTTGCCGCTACTCTCCTTTGCTGTGGTCCCAAAGTCTCCTGGCCAGGGGGCCTTTCCAGCCCCTGGGCCCCCATCTGGTGGGGAAAGGAAGTAGATGAGGCCCACAGAGGGGAGACAGCCAGGAGGCCACCACCACAATCTTGCTTCAAAAGAACCTCAGGCCCACTTCCTCCCACTGGCCCCAAAAGCCACAGCCCCGTGCTGGCCCACCCTTGGGAGTACTGTGCAGAGGCAATCTCTCGGCTCCCGGTCCCAGCAGGCTATCCCAGCCCTGCTCTCCAGGGAAGGTGGCCTCCTCTTCCTCCTCCTCTTCTTCTTCCTCACTGTCTGATGAGTGGGTAGAGGCATAAGAGCCACTCTGGTCATCTTCTAAGGACAGGTCACTATCGGAGTCCGTGTCAGGATCTAGGAGGACGGGGAGAGATCACAGCCAGTCCAGCCACCTCCACCCACCTTCAGTAAAAGCCAGCCAACTGCCCTACTGGGCAGCCAGAGCTTTCGGTCCTCACCGTGCTGCTGGTCTTGACCTTCCAGGAACAGGCTGCCTGGATCCCCCAGGCCAGGGGGCCCTTGGCCAGGGTTCAGTGTGGACTCCTCCCTGGGAAGACAAGACAATGCTGCAGGGGTCAGCCTGGCCCCTTGCCCAGGGTCCCAGTCTCTCCTCTCCCCTGGAATCCTGGTTCCTGCTTTGGGTCCCTTACAGCTTCCAAGCTGGCCCCCATGTCAACCACGGTGTGTGCACCGCAACTCTCAATGGCTGGCTGGCCTGGGTCCAGCATGCATGGGTCCCTCCTCCCCTCCTCCACCCTCCCATCTCCCGGGATTTACCTCAGCAAGAAGGGGATGTAGCTGGGCTGACTCTTGCCTGAGCGGCTGGCGCTGTGCAGAGAGCCGGCCGAGTCTCCATAGGGCTGGTACAGCCGCCCATCTGCATAGGGGCTAGGGCAGTTGTAGGACTAGGCAGGGAAGAGAGAGGTCAGTAAGTGGGGGAGTGGAATGGGGGACCCCAGGCCGGGAAGTAGGAGGGTGGAGGGAGCTTGCCCTAAGTTCCATGCTCAGGGCTGAAAGAGGGGGGCCCACTTCTCTGCTGCCCCCATATTGAAGCCTGGCAGTGGTCATAGTTCTAATACAGCTGTGCCACCCCTGCACACCCCCAGGGACCCCGGACTCACTCTATAATGGCTCTGTAAAAGATGGGACCAGAAACTGTCTCCTGAGAGCATCTTGGAAGACAGAAAATTTACTAACGTTCATGAGAGATTCTTAGGGGCAAGGTACTCATTACCTGATTATCTGTCTCAGCCCCATCTCCCTCAAGTCAAAATCCTACACACCCTTTCCAGCATCTCCTCCCTAGGCCAAACAAATCATTTCACCTCCCCTTCCACCTTTCAGAAAGTGGTGGAGAAAAGGGAAAGACGAGCCAGGCCAAAAGTGCAGGCTCAAGGGTCCTCCTACCTCCTCCTCCCTTCGCCACCCGCCTAGGACCCCTGGCCCCCTCACCGAGGTCAGGGTGGACTTGGTGGTCAGAGCAGGGTCAGGGCTGGGCTTGCGGCTGCAGGCAAGCTTCAGTGCCTTCCGGACCTCCTTGCTGAGCACCACGTAGGAGAGGAAGATGAAGGGGCCCTGGCAATCAAGAGGCAGCAACATCTGTGCCTATTCCGCTACCCACAGCCCAGGTACCTCCCCTCTCCACAGGCTGGGCCAGGTACCTGGATGCAATTGCAGGCAGCAAAGAGGTAGTGGAAGAGGAGGCTGTCGCTGTTGACAGAGAGCAGTGCCAGCAGCCACGCGGCACTCAGCAGCAGGAGGACGGCAAAAGAGGGCTGCAGGCCCGAGCTGGGTGAGGGACAGGCCATGAGTCCGGCCATGAGGGCTCTCATGCTGGTGCCCACCCATAGCCCAGGCACCCCAACCCTATACTCACACAGGACCTTTCTTCTCAAAGCCCTGCCGCTGGGCAGCACAGGAGGCCCGGGCTGCCAAGATGTACAGGAAGACACTCATCTAGGCAAGACCAGAGGGTGTGGGGTCCTCAGTGGGGACAGACGGCTTCTACCCAGCCCACAGGGCCCCATGGCCTCAGCTGTTCCTAAAGGGAGTCTTGAGGACACACGGCCTCAGTAGCAGGACAACAAAGGCCGCGGGTGACACCCAACCCACCTGCTAGCACTCACCGAGACGGCAAAGGCCACTGGGCCAGCAAAGCTCCAGATGAGCGTGTCATAGATGGAGAGCCAGCAGAAGTCAGGGTTCCCATAGCCCTCGGGGTCCAGGCCCACGGCCAGCCCTGGAGCATGGAAACAGATGGCAGCAGGGGAGGGGTGGTGAGGGGCCTGGGAAGTAGGGCTGCCGGCAGGCGGGCTCACAGGGCCGGGCATGAAGCCTGGAAAAGGGTTCCACCCACTATCAGCCCCTGCCATCCTCTCTAGGATAGGGGAGCGACCCCTGGGTGGCGGCCTCAGAGTCTGGGTTAAACTAGAGGGACACCTGTGAATAAGCTGGCCTGAGGCATGTGGTTGGGGCCTCATGGCCTGTATGTGGGTGGGGAGAACATGACACGAAGGTGGACCTGGGGCCTAGGGATGTGGGACCCCAAGGCCGGGAATAGGTGGGGGTACCTGTGATGAAGGCGGGCACACCCCAGCCCAGCATGTAGTAGAAGCGCATGGGGCCGGCGTTGACGTCGCGCACCTCAGTGAGTGCCCGGTACAGGTGCAAGGCCTCCAGCAGAGCCCAGGAAAAGGTGCAGAGGTACAGGAAGTGCAGCAGGATGGCGATGACTGTGCAGGCAAACTGAGGGTCCAGGCCAGGCCGGGTCAGTGACCAGGGCCCACCCAGAGCATGAGCTCTGCTTTGTGTCAGGCAGGGAGGAGGGCCTGGGTATTGGGAACTGCTTTGGGGGAAGCCTGGGCCAAAGGCAGGTGCCTATAGGATGCTGGGGGATCCCTGGGGAGCTGGAGAAGAGGAAACCCTGGGCCAGGCACTGCACTAGGCACCTTATCAGAGCTCATGGTGCAGAAGCAGGGATTGCCAGTGGGGGCGGGAAAGGGCACCTGACAAGGTGGGGACAGTCTCTGGGCAGTAGGAGCGTCTTACAGGGAGGTCAGCCTGGTTGATTCCCAAGAGGAAGACCAGCTGTGCCAGGCCCAGGGCAGCTGTCAGGTTCCGCCGGATGCCGTGTTGGTTAGAGCGTAGGACACGCAGGAGAGTGAGGAAGAAGAAGGTGAGCAGAAGGGCGGCCAAGGTGATACCTAGAGCCACATATGTCAGTGTCTTCAGTGGCAGGATCTCCCCATTCTGCAGAGTGGGTGGCAGGGGGCCAGGGAATTAGGAAGGACAGGGCCTGAGCACCCAGCCCCGCGCCTTGGGTGCCCACCCACAGCTCTGCAGCTGCCCCTGTGGGCCCGACCTCCCGCCGGGACACGTCCATGAGCACGGCAAAGCTCGTCATGTGGTTGCACTGGCAGCTGACATGGCTCTCATTTCGGAAGACGACTTCACAGCCTCTGGCGGACCAGCCACCTGTGCCACTGACCCTGTGTGAGGAAGGCAGGGTCAGGGGGATAAGGAGGGTGGGGCATCCAGGGGCCTGGGCTTTTGGCCCAAGGCCTTGGGGCTGAGGGCAGCACAGGCTCACAGGATCGAATGGTTCCAGAAGACACAGATGGGTTTGGTCCTCTCCTCTGTCTCCAGCAGGCGGAACTGCACCGTGACGGGCTTGTCCAGGGCCCGGGGCAGAAGCTCCTCATCATCATGGACGCTGATGCTCACCACGGGCGTGTTGATGATGGGGCGTTTGGGGACCCTGATGTGGGGCAGACCAGTGCACAGTCACCACAGCAGTCACATGACTGGGGAGACACCCCTGACCCCCTCCTGCCTCAGCCCTCACCGCCCAACCCACACCCCAACCCACCCCTGTCCCCTGGTCGCTGACCTCAGGCTGCGCTTGTCGGGGTCATAGTTATGGGGCAGTAGCCCAGCCAGAGTGCGGTAGATGATGACGCTGGCCACAGCCTCACCCTGGCTCAGCTCCGGGTGCCGTCGCTGCCGCCGTGCCAGCTCCTCTGACTCCTGGGCCTCTCCGGGGCCTGCGGGCCTGACCACGGGGGGCGTCTCTGGGAGGGGACACTGTCACACTTAGCTGGGCCCTGTCCTCGGTGGAGTCTCCACAGACACCAGGATCCAGTTCCCAACTCAATCCGTGGTCACCACTGACCTCTGAAGACAGACTCAGGCAGAATGACTGTTGTCTCAAGGTCTGGGGGTCGCTCCCCACGCAGCGCCTCGTAGCGGGGCAGCTTGGCTCCAGCAAAGTTCCCCTTGTCCAAGCGCACTACAGAGATGACTAGGGAAGGGGATGGTCACAGATTGGACCTGGGAAGCAGGCAGGCCCCCAGCATGGCCGCCTTTGGGGGGGACTCCCTCCACACACCTCCCCAACCCAGGTACCAGCCTCACCAATGTTGGGTGTGACGATGGTGAAGGGGCTTAGGTAGGTGTGCCGCATGTTCTGGGCCAGGGCACTGGCGTACGCCTCATAGTGCTGGAGCAGCCAGGCGGTGCCCCCCTCCGTCTGCTGGATCAGCTCCCAGTGCCGCTTGTTGGCTGCGTCCAGGAGGGCGCTGCCCACCCGCAGCAGATTCTGGGGTGGGCAAGGTCACAGTGGGTGTGCTCACAGCCCACACCTGACATCCCACCAGGGAGCCCTGGCCTGTGCCTGGGCCGGTCCCCACTCTCCACCAGGTCCCTCGCTCCGCGCTCCTTGCCTCCCCAGAAACGCTCCGGGATCGCACTGCCCACTCAGGTCACCGGATGCTCTGCCCCTAAGCCCTCCTTCCCATTCTCTATGTAAGAGCTTCCCAGCCCTGTGCCTGGACCCACACAGATGTCCTGAGATACTGCTTCCTCCCAGCCTGTGGTACCACAGACTGACCTCTGCTCTGGGTCAGACACACACACCTTATAATGAGAAGAGTGGGGAAGAGGGCCGGGCCAGGGCTCACAGGATTTCATGGAGAACTCTTGCCAACAGCGAGCTCCCCATAGGTGGGTGGGAGGGCCCCCTTTGGCCCCCAGGTTGCCAGGAGCAGGCTTGCTTACCATGACCCCATCTAACCAGCCAGCCCTGCATCCTCTAAGCCCCACCTCAGTGAAGTGCACATCCTGCGTGGCGGACAGCCCGAAGCCTCGCTGGGTGCTCTCGTGGGCCAGCAGCCGTGTGGCCAGCTGGTAGGCCACCTTGACGTCGCTGCCGAAGTAGCCAGCAGTGTGCTGTGTGGCATTGCGCAGGAGCAGGGCCAGCCACTGGGAGCGCCCTGAATCCAAGCCTGACTCATTCCGCTGCAGCCGCTCAGCCTAGATGGGAGGGAGCGGAGGGGCAGGAGTGAGGGCAGAACTCTGGAGCAAAAGAACCTCAGGAGAGGGGAAAGATGGCCTCTCTAGCTGGGAGCCTAGGAATACAGGGGCTGTAATTCCGCAATCTCCTTTCTCAAAGATGGGAGTGGGGGCAAGGGAGACTCAGGACAAAGGAGAGGGAAAAGATGGCAATGAGGGGATTCACTTACAAAGCCCTTCAGCTCTGAGAAGGTGACGGACGTGCAGTTGAAGAGGTTTGGGGGAAGCCACCCCCTGTGCTCGTCACAGTGGCGCACAGCAGTCCCTGGGGGAAGGAAGCCAAGAGGGCTGCCTCAGGGAGACACACAGGAAGCCCCTGAGAATGGCTGCGAGGTGCTGCTGGAGGCCAGCACCTCATGGGCCAGGGACAATGACAAGCAAACAAGGGTCCTGGTGAAACAGGAAGACAGGTATATAGAATACCAGGGCCAAAAACCTCTGCAAGATTGGTCCACACAAGGGCTCTGGGAGAACAGGGCATACGACCTCCTTGAGCTCCCATCACTGCCTGTCTCCAGCCACCACTTTGTGCTCTAAGCCATGTCCTGCCTATGAACCTGCTCATCGCCAGTCCAGGACCAGTGCCGGCCCCATCCTGGGCTGGGTCTCCTGGATCAGCGGCCAACACCTTCTACTCCCCAGACTGCCTTTGTGGTGGCGTAACTCCAGGACTCGGTGGTGAGCAGACGACAGGAACCCTGCAGGATTCATCTCTGAATCGCTAGTACAGCCCTATGCTGAGCACAGTGCAGGTTTTTCAGCATTTTTGTTAAGAGTCCAAGATATGGCCAGGCGCAGTGGCTCACACCTGTAATCCTAGCACTCTGGGAGGCTGAGGCGGGTTGATCACGAGGTCAGGAGTTTGGGACCAGCCTGGCCAACATAGTGAAACCGTTTCTATTAAAAATACAAAAAAAAAAAAAAAAAAAAAAAAAATGCTGGGTGTGGTGGTGGGTGCCTGTAATCCTAGCTACTCAGAAGGCTGAGGCATGAGAATTGCTTGAACCCAGGAGGCAGAGGTTGCAGTGAGCCAAGATTGTGCCACTGCACACCAGCCTGAGTGACAGTGTGAGACTTTGTCTGAAAATTTAAAAAAAGTCCAAGATGTAGGCATGCCTGGGCAACATTGGGGAGGGGACCTTGAACCAAGGAAGATGGGAAATGAAATCCCAGGACCTGGAAGCCAGAAAGTGGGGTCCCCGGATCTTCAGCCAGGAGCTTCCTGCCCTCATCCCACTACTGGCAGGGGCCATGTCCTCAATATCACATTGGGGCCTCCAACACCTACCAAAGGAGCCTTTGGGGCAGGGAGCAGCAGCAGGCAGCCCGAAGCGGGTACGGGGCCACCAGATCCCAGCCTCAATTGCCCGTGGGCAGCTGTCGTAATTCACTGCAGAGAAGAGCACACAGTCACCCAGGAGCAGCTCTCCCTCTGCAGTCCCGCCCAGGCTCCCCAGCCCTCCCTCCGCCCATGGGCAGCTGCCGTAATTCACTGCAGAGAAGAGCACACGGTCACCCAGGAGCAGCTCTCCCTCTGCAGTCCTGCCCAGGCTCCCCAGCCTTCCCTCCGCCCATGGGCAGCTGCTGTAATTCACTGTGGGGAAGACCATATGGTCACCCAGGAGCAGCTCTCCTTCTGCGGTCCTGCCCCGGCACCCCAGGCCTCCCTCGGCCTCCTCCGGTCTGAAACCAGCCCCTTCTTGGCTTCCCTGGGGTGCAGGTGCCTGGCACACTGTGAGGAGGGCTGCCCACCCATCCTGGGAGCCCCACCTTCACAGCCATTGGTGGTGACCTCAGCAAAAGGGTTGTCACAGCGGTCACACTGACGCCCGATGACGCCTGGCTTGCATGGACACTGGCCGTCCTCAGGGTCACAGACTCGGGACAAAGAGCCTGTGGGGTAGCAGTCACACAAGAGGCAGGTAGGGCTGCCCGGGGGCCGGTAGTGGTTATCCTGAGAAAGGAGGGAGGAAAGGCGTCACTGGCCATGTTCTCGTCCCAGGATGCCCAGTTGTGGCCCCTCTGGAGAGGGTCCCAACCTCAGGTCCCCTCAGGAGTCGTATTCAAAATAATTAACACATGCAGTGCTTTGGAGTTGAGCCCATTGGCAAGATGTCACACAATCAGAACAGGCTGCAAACCACCACCATACCAGGCCCAGAGCTCACGGGTTACACATCGGCCCAGGGTCCCCTGTGCCTCTGACACATGAAGGTAAGCAGCCAACGACCCTGCACTTGAGAGCAAAGGCACATGGTGCTCAGCTCGGCAAGCAGACCCATCTCTATAGCCACCCCTTGAGGGGCCCGGAGATGTGGACAGAGGCCCACGTGGCCTCAGTGGAGGCTTGCTTGGGGCTGTCACCTTGCAGTGGCACTCGCCGCTGGTCTTGTTGCAATCTGGGTCAAAGCCTTTGCTGACGTCACAGTTGCATGGGCCACACGTGGGATGTCCCCACCAGCCACGGGGACAAGGCTGGTCAATCCTACAGAGAGGGACCCGGGCAGGCATGAGCTCCCCCTGCCACTCCCACCTAACCTAGGTGAGCCCCGCACGGCCCTTCTGACCCTGGCTGCTGGTCAGCCAGGCTTTCAGGGCTCTGAGGGATACACCAGAGAGGAGGAGCAGACACTGTGACCTGCTGCCCCATGCCCTGGTCCACTTACCTGGTCTCACAGTATGGCCCAAGGTAATTTGGGGGACACTCGCAGGTATAGCCATGGGGGGCACTGGGCTTGCGGGTACACACGGACTGGTGCTCACAGGGGTTCAGGTCACACACATTAGTACAGTTGTCACCATAGTAACCTGGCACCAGAAGGACCAGAGAGGCTCATTCTCCACTCCCCTGGCACCACCTTCCATCACACCCACCTTCATCTGTTTCTTCCCACTCTGAGCATCCTATTGGCTGGCTATGGCTTTGTTGTGTAGGTGACTAGGGCTCAGAGGGGTGATGTGATGCCCTGGGTCACACAGCAGCCAGCACGTGGCCCCAGGCACCTGATAACCTACCCACTGCCTCGGAACCTTAGCACACCTGGATCACAGCTGCAGGAGAAGCTGTCCCAGTCGTTGCTGCAATAGCTGTTGGCAGGACACGGGTTTGAGTCGCAGGGGTCAGGGAGGCTGCAGCCTTGCTCCACGTTGACGCTCTCTCCACGGCTGGGGTCCAGGCTGTTAACCCCCTCCGGTGTGTCGCTCACCCGCACACCCTCGGAGGGACAGAAGCAGCGTTGCCCTCAGTGGAGTGGGGCTGCAAGTGATGGGGGAGTGGGGAGGGGAGGGGAGGGCAGGACACTCACCTGCAAACAGCCCCGAAAGCCACGGGCCACACCGCTGGCTGGCCCAGGTACTCCACCCACTGTTATGTTGCTCAGATGCAGCCCATGCAGCCGGGGGCCCAGGTTGCCCTCTGCTCTCTGCTGCCCATAGTCGAAGGACAGAATGGCATGGCCAGGTCCCCCACTGGCTCCCAGTGTCAGCTGTGCATGGTGCCAGTCACCATCATTGGCCCGGCCTGGCTCCAGTCGGAGAGAGGAGGCCTGGAGCCCTGTGCCCTCCACGCTCAGCACCACATGGCCCTCCCACAGCTGACACCAGGGGGAAAGAAAGCAGGGTCAGCAGACGGCCGTAATCACTCTTTTCCAGCCCACAGTTCCCCTTTCTGGACCACCAAACCCATCCTGGGGCCTGGCTGAGGCCATTAAGAGGAAAGAGTATTTATTTCCCTCAGGCCCAATAGGTGGCAGCAGTGACCCAATGAATGCCCCCACCCCTGCCCAGGACCTGCCCAGCCATTTCTGTCCAGCCCCCAGAGGCTACCAGAGCCCTATAGCCAGACCAGGGCCGGCCCGCTCCTCCCTGCATCACCTGTAGGGTGATGGTGCTGCGCCCCCTGGTGACGGCCTGCAGCAGGACACCATCGGCCTGGCGTGTGCGGAACATGAGGCTGAGGTGCCAGGGCTGGGAGATGGGCAGCGAGAGGCCATGCCAGGCCACCAGGCTGCTGCCCAGGAAGTGCTGTGGATTGGCCATTTCTGGGGGGGGGGGCAGAAAAAGGCAGCCTGTGATGGGCGGAGCCACGGAGGGCCCTGGGGGTGTGATGCTTAGTGGTGGTGACTGCACACGGAGGCAGCACCCACTCCCCTCATCAGCCCCGCCTCCAGAGTGCGTACCTGCCCTGGGCCTGCCCCACGCTGTGCCCAGGCCTGCCTCTGACTGGCCCCTTTGTCTCCATTGCTGCCCTCTCAGGGCTGTGCCCAGACACGCTTTTCCACCCACAGCCCGGCTCAGCAGAGCCCTGCCCAGTGCCTGCCCCCACCCTGCCAGCTCCCAGACTGTTGATGGCACCCAGGCCTCAGCCTCTGACAGCCGCCCCTCCTACCCTGAGCGCAGCTCTTGCCCCCAAAGCCCAGGGGGCACTCGCAGCTGAACGAATCCCACTGGTTCACACAGGTGCCCCCATTGTGGCAAGTGTTGCTGTCACACACGTTCTTCTTGGCAGGGCAGCCTGGAATGGAAAGAAGGTGGCTCAGTGGTCCTGAACTGGGAACCTCAAGAGGAAGCCTGTGGGGTTCTCAAGAGGAAGGCTGTGGCAGTGGCTAGAGAGGCCTCTGAGACCCTCCATTCCAGCATCCTCACACCAGGCACAGCCCCTCCTCGCTGCACTAGGATCCCAGCCTGGCTCCACCCTGGGCCCCCATACCAGGCACAGTGCCATTGTTGGCAATGAAGTCAGCCATATCTATGTGCCGGCTGTCCACCTGCAGGTTCCGCATGCAGCCCACGAAGTGCCGCATTCGGACTGGGAAGCTCTCGGGCAGGTCAGGCACCCCACCTAGCAGCAGAGGACCCGTCAGATCCAGAGACCTGGGGGAGCAAAGACAGTGGCAGCAAAAGGGAGGGCTGGGAGCTTCTGGTCCTCCACTCGCCCTGTTGCCAGGCTGGAGACAGGAAGGACCTAGCCTGTGTCCAAGGGGCCCTGCAGAGCAGCGCTCAGGAAAGGGGTCACCCCGCCTGGAGCTGCTCTTGAACACCCCGCCCCTCCCCAGACTGCCCCACAGGGTCTAGCTCTGATTCCTCCATCTCGACCCCCATCCCCAGGGCTGAACAGGGGCTAAGGGAGGTAAAGGGAGGGAGCCCCCAAAAGCCCAGCCTCTTCACCTTCCCTCCCTGCCTGGCCCTGCTCTCGCTTCACTCCAGCCCTGGCCCTTTCCCCTGCTCACTTCTTGCTGCCACCCTGGGTGCCCTGGGCAGCACAGGAGTAGTTGCCCAGCACAGATCCAAAGCGCAGGGCCACCCCTGTGTCACAGCCATCCACGGTCACCACCGCCACCTTCTGCTCAGATGGGCCCTGTGGGAGCCCTGTCTGACCCAACAGTGGCTGTGGACAAAAAGAACAGAGAAGTGAGAGGCTGGGCAGGGGGCCCACTAGGTCCATGGCCAGCACACACTGGGCACCTCTGTGCACCCACACACCCAGACACATGCACACAGACGAATATACACACGTGTGTTCACATGGTTTATGCATATAACTATGTTCATCGGCGTCTGAGTCTGCACCTGCCTAGTAGAACAGGGAGCATGGAGCTCCCTGAGGAGCTGGGGTGGGAATGCCCAGCAAGGTGGCACCTTCCCAGGCACTCCCTTCCTCTCAGCCAGAAATGCCTTGACCAGCCCACCCAAGCCTAGAGGTGGTGCCACTCAGGGCTGGGTAAGCACCTGAGTCAAGAATAGAAACCCCCACCCTCTGTGCCCTCCGCACCTACCTTATTGTAGTATTTCAGCTGCACCGTGTGCCACTGGCCATCACTGACTCCTCCAGGTATGAATGGGGACACGGTGGTGGTTGACTCCCCTGGGGAAAGGACTGGGTGAGTTGGGACGCCAGATGAGCACTGGGAATGGTGGCATTGGTGGTGCCAATGGCTGAGGCTGGGCCCAGCTTTGGCTGAGAGAGTATGTGGCTTGGGGTCAAGAGCTGGGAGACTTGGGGCCTTTGGAAGATGGGCACGGCTGGGGGACAACTGTAATCACCTGCAGAGAAGGTGAGCTGGACTTGCTCCTGGATCACCTCGAGGGCCACAAAGTCATGCTTCTCATTGAAACGCCCATTGTACAACAGCAACCCGTCACGCTCTTTTGTGGCAAACCTGAACAGGAGTCGGGGATGGGGGCAGGGAATGGGGCACCCACCTGGATGCCAGCACCCCAGCCACCTAACCAGCACGGGGTAAGGAGATCTGTGGGCAGAACCACAGGCAACTCCAAGAGCAGACCTGGCTCTGCCAGCAGCCTGCTCCACGCTCTTTCGCTGCCTGACTTCTCACTTCACTCACAGAACAGGAGGCTCCTCAGACGCCCACCAGGCCTGATCCCCACCCCCAGCTCCCAGCCACTCACGAGAGGGCCAGGGTGAAGTGAAAACGCTGGCGCAGACCACGAAATGTGATGAAGGAGCGGGCGGGGAAGCTGCGCGTGGTCACCTGGCAGTAGGGCTTCTCGAAGTCTCCAGATGGGCAATCGCACTTGAAACCGCCCACCAGCAGATTGACACAGGTGCCCCCATTCTTGCAGACACCCGGGGTGCAACGGCCTGAGCGAGCACTCACCTCACAGTGCTCACCTGAAATAGAGGAAAGGCAGGTGAGTACCAAGGACCTGAGGACAGGAGGGGAGCTGATACCCCTGAACCCAGTGATAGCTCCCATGGCCTCCCATGACCCTTGTCATACTCCCCAAAATTCCCAGGCATCCCCACTTCCTCTTGGTGCCATCTTCTCTGGGACCTACAGTTCCCAGCCCTTCCTGGGCACCCTGTTTGGCTCACTGAGCCACTCCCACCACAGCTCCACACATGGCTCCCCTGCAAGTTCCTCAGAGTTCCCAGCCCCTTCCCTACATCTATTTGAGCTTCATAAGTACAGGCCTGCTGGGACCTCTGGTTGTAAGGCCAGCATCCTGGGAGCCTTTGGTGTCACGGCCACCAAGCATGACTGGGGTGTCCTGGCCCCCAAGAAGGTAAATGCATGAGCCAAGCCTGCAGGATGGCAAGAGGGCTGGGAGCCACCCTCCTCCCTCTTTCCTCTCTCCCTCCTCCCTCTCTCCGCCCTCCTTCCTCCCTCCCTCCCTCCCACTGGTGCTTTTGTCCCTCTTCTGCACTGAGATCAGTTTTCCTCCCTGGGGATGGGACCAGGCTTCCACTTAGATTTGTCTGGGTTATGGGGGAGTAAGAAAGCGAAGCTGGGGAGTCCCCAGGAATGGGACAGAGGACTCCCACCTTGAGCCCTGGGGTCCAGACTGAATGCCTGCACTTGGGAGATGCTGAGAGTGGGAAACTGAGCCCTGGGAGCAGACAAGGATTCAACAGTGGAGCTGAAAACTCCAACATCAGATGGGAACCACCCCTTTCTCTCCCTCCCCATTTCCAGATTCTAGAGATAGGTTCTCAGCTCCTGTGCCTAGTGACTGGCCCTTGTTTCCATGGAAACTGTTGTTCGCCTACTCTAAACCCCCCCAACCACCCCACCATCCTCTTGGACAAAGACTCCTCTCCCCTCCCCCAGGCCCGCCCCTCCCCTTCCCCCTACTCCTAGCAGCGGCAGAGAGAAGTCAAGTCTGGCAAGTTCTGGGCAGGAAGATGCAGCAGGGAAGGGAGTGGGGCCTGCCTATGGCCGATGGCAGAGCCAGTGGGCATGGCCCTGGAGGACAGGGAGCAGGGCCTTGGCATCTAGGAAGGAAGGGCCCACAGGGAAGAGGAGCAAGGAGTGTCCTGAGAAGAAGCAGGAGCCTGAAGGGTGGGGTCAGGAGCACAGAGCAGAGGCAGTGAGCATCCCAGGGAGGAGAATGTGTAAAGACTTCAGCTGACAGGCCAACAGGGAAGCCATCTAGCCAGGACCCTCTTTTACCTGTACCTGGGCAGAGGTGGAGCCATTCTGCCCAGGCCCACCCAGATGTAGTGATCTTCTGGAGCACCCCAACTCAGAACCCAACCCCCTCCAGTTCCCTCAGCCCTTCTAAGTCTTCCCCTTAATGCCTGGGGAAAGTATTTGCTGCAGCTCAGAAAGGGGACTGGCTTAGTGGTGGGGAGGCTGGGTTCTAGCCCCAGCCTCACCTGGAAACCAGCTGTGACATGAGACCAGGAGCAAATCACCTAATCTCGGTGTTCCCTTAAATCAAAGCCAACACCTTCCACTCACCAGCTCTTTCCAAGTATCAAATTAATTGCATTAATCCTCACAACTAACTTATGACCTAAGTACATTCATTACCTCCATTTCAAATTACTTAGGGCCAGAGAGGTTAAGTAACTTGTTCAAGGTCACACAGCTACTAATAGTGGCAAAGCTGAGACCGGAAGCCAGGCCGACTGGCTCTGGACACAGCTCTGCCCGCAGTGACACTGGCTGTGCGTCCTGTGCACAGCAGGGAGAAGCACTCCTTGCACTGCCTTCCTCAGTAGGCTGCTGTCAGGGAGTGGGTGGGATTTATGATCGCCTAGCGTCACTGTACCTCACTGGGGAAGGGAATGAGTCGCCTTCCGGGGCTGCCACATGGGTCCTCTCCCTTGGCTTACCCGTGTAGCCATCACGACAGAGGCAGGTGTAGCCGCCCTCGCGGCTGCGGCAGCGCCCGTGGGGGCCACAGGGCCTCGAGTAGCAGAGGTCCACCTCGGTCTCGCAGTAGTCACCCGTGAAGCCGGGTGGGCAGCGGCACCGCAGCCCCCCGACAGGGTGGATGGGCCGGAAGAGCACGGAGGAGGAGGCGATGAAGGGCGCCGAGGAGTCGAAGCGCAGCACCGACACGCAGCGCATGTAGTTCTCGCAGGGCTCGCGCAGGCAGATGTTGTCGTCGAAGGGCAGCACGCGCTGCGCCGAGATGGCCGTCAGCAGGCTGCGGTTGAGGTACAGGCGCTCCTGCAGGTCCTCGGAGGGTAGGAAGGGCGGCCCGCCCCCGGGCCCTGGCGGCTGGCCCACCGACAGGCTCACGTTGAGGATGTGTCCGCCGGGGGCGTCGGTGTCCCGCTGCACGTTGAAGACCACCACGTGGTCTGGTGGTGTGGCCAGCGTGGCGGCCACCGCCTGGATGAAGAGACCCAGCAGTGGTGACAGGAAGCGCTCGGGTGACATGTCCTCCAGGCGCAGCGTGATGCTGTGGGTGAGCATCTCATCCGTGATGATGGTCACACGCAGGGCGCACTGGGCCGTCACGCTGTGCACGCCATCTGTGGAGAGAGACACAAGTCAGGACTCAGCCTGGGATGGGGGGCTAAGTCACAGACCTGTGCAGGTGTGTGGGGAAGGCCCTGCACAGGAGCCCGGGCTGAAATTCAGCCTGCATATTTCTGCATCACCCTCCAGAAAAGGCTCTCCTCTCCAACTGGCATAAGGGTGCTGAGCCAGGTATGTCACTTGTGGGCCGGTCACTTCTTCAGGGATCAGGGGGTAAACTTTGCAAAAGTTCTCTTTGCATCCTTTCCCAAAACCTTCTGTGGTGGATGCAGGGCACACGTCTTAATGTTCGTGCACCTTTCCCTGCCCAAGCCACGCTCCTACTCCCTTCCACCAGCGTCTGCATTGCCTCACGCAGGAACCCTATGGTGTCTTTTTCATACTTTTCTACAGGGTCCAGAGCATCCTGAGACACATGAAAATCATCCCCCTGCCCCCTCAGCTTCTACACCTCAACACCACAGTAATCACAACCACGGCTGTGTTCCCCACTCCCCCACTGCAGCAGAGAGTGGGGGGGTAAACTGGGTCAGTGGGCCACTTTGTCCCCCTCCCACTGAGCCCTATGGCTGCCTGGGCACAGACTTGCTATCCCCATGGCAACGCCCAGCACAAAGCATTCCCGCCCAACTCCCTGGGCTGCTGTGGGTAGCCTGGGGAGCCCCACCCCAGGAAATACAGCTGAGCCATGTTAACCAGTAACAACATCACCCACTGCCCCATGCTGGCGACAGGGTGAGTGGGGGTGGAGGACCAGGGGTCAGAGATAGAAGGGCCTGGGCAGCTCTCCACTCTGAGACCCCAGAGCCCCACTGGGCCAGTCTCTTCTCTGGCCCTAGGGCCTCTAGCTACTCCTCGCCCACTTGGCTAGCTCATTACACCCAAATGCCTGCCATACCTCCAGGCAACACACTCACTTATAAACAGCTAAGTACTAACACACACTTGCTGGTATCTCACTCCACCCACACACCCTAAGCCCAGAAACACCATACACACCTGAATGCAGATACACATGGGAATGAATTTTTATTTAACTCAAAAATGAAAGCTGAGGTCCTGGAGGAGGAAATGGCTTTGCAGGGCCATAAGGGAGATAATCCTTTTTTTTTTTAATTTTTAATTTTTTTTTTTTTTTTTAAAGAGAGGTTTCACTATGTTGGTCAGGCTGGTCTTGAACTCCCAACGTCAGGTGATCCGCCCACCTTGGCCTCCAAAGTGCTTGGATTACAGGCATGAGCCACCATGCCTGGCCTAGTCTTTTTTTTTTTTTTTTTTTTTTGATAGGTTCTCACTCTGTCGCCTATGCTGGAGTGCAGTGGCATGATCATAGCTCACTGTGGCCTCCCAACTCCTGGGCTCAGCCTCCCAAATAGCTGAAACCACGGGTGCTCACAACTACGCCCAGCTAACTTTTGTTTGTGTGTAGAGATGAGGTCTTGCTTTGTTGTGCGGGCTGGTCTCAAATTCCTGGCCTTAAGTTATCCCCTATCTCAGCCTTCGAGAGCTCTAGGATTACAGGTATGAGCTACCAGCATATCCATATTTTCATTTATTACAATGCCTTACACATAGTAGGTGTTCAGTAAACATCAAGATGTGGACGACAATCTATTCAGTCTTCATAAAGAGAAAATGGTCTGGCCGGGCGCGGTGGCTCATGCCTATAATCCCAGCACTTTGGGAGGCCGAGGCGGGTGGATCACGAGGTCAAGAGATCGAGACCATCCTGGTCAACGAGGTGAAACCCCGTCTCTACTAAAAATACAAAAATTAGCTGGGCATGGTGGTGCGCGCCTGTAGTCCCAGTTACTGGGGAGGCTGAGGCAGGAGAATTGCTTGAACCCAGAAGGCGGAGGTTGCGGTGAGCCGAGATCAAGCCATTGCACTCCAGTCTGGGTAACAACAGTGAAACTCCGTCTCAAAAAAAAAGACAAAAAAAGAAAAAATGGCCTTTAAAACATAGCAGGAGGCAGGGCATGGTGGCTCATGCCTATAATCCCAGCACTTTGGGAGGCTGCGGTGGGCAGATCATGAGATCAGGAGTTCGAGACCAGCCTGACCAACATGGTGAAACCCCATGTATTTTTATTTTCTACTAAAAATACAACAATTAGCCGGGCGTGGTGATAGGCACCTGTAATCCCAGCTACTCAGGAGTCTGAGGCAGAAGAATTGCTTGAACCTGGGAGGTGGAGGTTGCAGTGAGCCAAGATCACCCCATTGTACTCCAGCCTGGGTGACAGAGAGAGACTCCATCTCAAAAACAAAACAGGTGGAGCCCAGCTAGATATAAAAAGTGAATGCTTACCCTCGCAGTAATGGGGAAGGAACCCATGTTTCTGGGGTGGGGTGGGAGTAGGGACATGGGAACAGATTCCTCGTCTGTGTTGTACCTACTTGCGGTGGCGAACTGTAATAGCGGTGGCTCAGTTGAAGCCGGGAAGGCTGAAGGCAGACCCCCATCTCAGCCGTGTCCCTGGCCCACTGCCCACCTACCCTCCAGCCGCTTCACTTGCTTGTTCTCAGTAGCTCTCACCAGCAAGCCTGCTTGTCATCACCCACTACTGTTCCTCCCGCTCTCATCTCAAAGCTGCTGCACAGGCTGTTCCTTCCCACTCAGACACCAGCCCACAGTCCTCCAACTCTTCTAACTTGCCCTGATCTCACCTGCTCCAGGAAGCCTGCCCAGATTTATGGCATGAGGCTCTACTTTCCTTTCTGTTTCAGACTTCACCAAACTCAGGTGCTCAGCTGGCACAGGGCTCTTGTGTACCTGGTGCATCTGCCTAAGGATTCCTTGATGGGATATTTCCTCCAGGCAAAAAGCAGCCCGAGACTCCACACACAGTGCCCATAACTGATTAAGAGAGGACAGGAGGTAGCCAAGGCCACAGAGAGGGAGAAACTTTGCCACCCCTCAGCCCTGGGAACAAACACTCCTCCCTGTGCCCCCACCACCATCGTCTTAGGCTCTGCCTGGGCCCCCTACCAGCATGTCTCTGTTGCTTCCCATCTGGTCCACCATCTGTGGCCACCTGCCCCCTCTGCTATTGTCCCCTGTCCCCAGTAGTCAACCCACTGCTCTCTGTTTTCTATGTCACCCTCCCCTGCCTTGACCCAGGTCGCCCCTCAGGTGCAAAGGCAGACTGGGAATGGGGGGGCGGGGTGCACTGCCTGAGCTGTCTTCCTGGACAGAAAAGAAAGAGGTGGGATGGCCTCTGACCCCAGGAAATGCCACCTGTGCCCCAAACTTAGCAAGGCACACCTGGAAAAGCACCAGGTCCTGGTCAGCCTCCCAGCTTCTCTTCCCCTGGCAGATGTGCCAGCAGAGGCTGGAGGCCAGGAGGGCTCTGCTATTCTGGGAGCTGCCCAGACCATGGACAGGAGCTACTGTGTGTCTGAGCAGAGGAAGAAGGAGGTGAGGGGATTTGAGACTCCAGGAGAGCCATCCAGCCCAGGCTGAGCCACAGGGAACAAGAGAGGGGAGCCAGAAACATGGAGATCATATAGGAGGAGACAAAGTCCCCGGAGAACAGCCAGCAAAGGCTGAGTGGGAGAGCAGGAGAGCCACAGGAGCAGGGAGAGGGCGCGGGAGAGAGGCAGTGCTGCAGGCCCCGCATGGGCAGGGGCGGGAAAGAAAGAAGAGACAAAGAACAAGAGGAGGAAAACAAAGGGGCAGTGGGAATCAAACCTCCTCACCCCGGCCTCCCTGAACTTTGGGGTTGCCGTGGTGACTGCCTCCAAGGGTCAGGGCCGAGGGGAGAAGGCGGGGCCAACACTGCTGGGCCAGGAGGGGCCGTCCTGGGTGTTGCCCCAGCCCTCTCCTCTAGACTACGGAACCAAGGTCTGGGGCTCTGCCCAGGTCGGAGACTGAAGGCTGGGTGGGGGCGTCTCTCTGCCCCCCTCAGCACGCTCAACAAGGGCAGGCTGGGTGTGGAAACCAGAGGGAGAGGCCCTTGTTCCCACTGTCTCGAGTGCCCAGGACACAGGAGCTCCAGCCTCTAAATTCCTCCTCCTGGAGGGGAAACTGAAGCCTCAGGAGCCTCAAAACCTCAGCCACAGCCCCTGAAAAGCTCCTGCTTCCTGGTTCCTGTGACCACCTTGAGGGGTGGGGCAGGGAGGCATTTGTCTAGCAGGGACCCTGAGTGAGGCCACGCCCTGACTCTTGCATGCCCCTCCCTCCCCTTCAGGCCAGACTTCCTGGGGTGGGAGTAGGGGCCTGTCAGCCTCTTTTTCTCCCTTCCCAGATGGGTCTGAAGGCTGCCTAAACGGGGCGTGACCTGACCCACCCCTGGGGTGCAGCTAACAGCAGCTCCTCAGGAGGGTCTCAGTCATTCCCAGGCTTAGGGGAGGCACTCAGCAACTTGGGTGTGGTTCTCTCCCTGCTGCTACCTCTGGCTCCCCAGAGCTGATAAAAAAAGACAGAATACTGTCACCAACCCCCTCCAGCTCTCCTCCCCCAGCGCTGCTGTCCAGGGAGTCTGTAGGCTGAGCGCTTGGACAAGCAGCAGGAATGCCCCGGCCTGGGTTTCCGCCAGGCTCCCACGCCCTGGGACTCTGTTCTCTCCTCAGATCAGGTGCCTTGGGGTCTCTGCTCTCAAAGCCCATTAGTCCCCTGGCCTGGCCTGCTCCCTACACCCCATTCCTGAAGCCTGGGCTGGTCACAGCCAGCAAGAAAGGAAGGCCTGGCACCCTAAGAACAGCCCGTGGGGTGGTAAGGGGGCCCAGAAGGCCTCAGCCTGCCCGCCCCCCGCCGGCTTCATTGCAGCCCCTCCTCCAAGCCAGACCCGAACCAAGGACTCTGAAAGTGGGGTCTGTTTGGACAGACAATGAGCTGTGGCCTCACTTCCTGCGGGAGCTCTGAAGGGGGAGCTAGGCCAGGCTCCTTCTGCCTGGAGGGAAAAGAATGCGCTAGACAAAGTCCATGTCAGCCGATTCTGCAGCTCAGCCAGGAGTCGGAAGGGGCCAGAAGAGCACTGCAGGGTCCTGACCCCTGGGTGGCAGCAGCCCTGTGCGCCCATGACCCTCAGCTCTGCCAAAGGCTGTATGAGACTGCAGGGATATCTTGATAGGGATGAGGAGGCCCTGGCCTCACCTCCTCTCTTGGGCCACAGTCCTCTCTACCCTTCCCCCAGCTCTCCTGGCCCCCCAGGCTTCCACGCGCCTTTTTTCACAAATCTTGGCAGCCATAGCTGGGGCAGCCTCACAACACTTCCCCGACCGCGTCACAGGCTGGTAGACGGTGGGGGCAGCCAACCGAAGCAGCCCAGCCCAGCCCCGGCGGAAGGCGGGGCCTGCACCAGCCGCCAGGATTCCTGGGGCTTCTTCCCAAGCTGGCTCTTGCCCCCTGCCTCTCTCTGCCAGGCACCAGGCAGGGACATGGGTCCATAGCTGCTTCCTGGATCGAGCCTTACCTCCAGTGGCTGCCCAGACCCTCCCCGCAAGCTGCCCCTAGCGCCACCTGGGCCCTTCCTTACCTGATACCAGCACGCTCATGATGGCCTCCAGAGGCCGGTTGTTGTCCAGTGCGCGGCTCAGCCTCAGCTCACCCGTGGAGGCATTGAGCAGGACCAGGCTGAGCTCGTTTCCCCGCTCAAAGCTGTAAGTCAGGCTATCTGAGATGTCGGGATCATGGGCAGGTACTCGGCCAATGGCACCCCCAGGGAAGCTGCTTGAGCGGTTGGTGACATAGTTGTTGAAAAGGATCTCAAAGTTGCCCAGCACTGGCGGGTTGTCATTGCGGTCAAGGAGGCGGACGTGGACTGTAGCCCGGCTCACCAGAGGAGCCGACGTGGCCTGGATGACTAGGACGTACTCAGGCCGGTCCTCGTAGTCTAAGTCTACCAGGGCTGTCAGCTCTCCAGAGAAGATGTCCAGCTGGAAGACCTCAGGGATGTTGCCCTCCACAATCTGGTACATGATCTGGGCATTGGTGCCTTCATCGGGGTCAGTGGCCGTGACCCGGGCCACGGCTAGCCCAATGGGGCTGTTCTCTTCGACAAACACATCAAACTCGTCCTGCTCAAAGACAGGGGGATTGTCATTCACATCCAACACAGTGACTGTCACTTCCATGGGTGTGCGGGCTGGGGGCATCCCCTTGTCCACTGCATATGCCCGCAAGACATACTGGGCCACATTCTCCCGATCCAGCCTCCGTAGTGTTCGTACGATGCCTGATGTGGACTCGACAATAAAGTCACCATCTCCATCATCACCTCCTTGGAAGGTGTAAAAAACCCTGCCATTAAGGCCAGAATCACGATCAGTGGCTGAAATCTGCAGGACGCTGGTGAAGGGTGGCACATCCTCATAGACACTGCCCTGGTAGGAGTCACGCAGGAACTGAGGAGCATTGTCATTCACGTCGTTCACCAGGATCTCCAGGTAGGTGGTATCAGACTTCTGGGGAATGCCGTTGTCCCGAGCGGTAATGGCCAGGGTGTAAGACACTTGGTCTTCGTAGTCCAGCTCAGCCTGGGTTGTGACAGCCCCCGTGTCTGCGTCAATGCGAAATTGGGGGATGCTGTCCTCCATGAAGTAGGTGATGCGGGCATTCTCACCTGTGTCCTCGTCTGTGGCGCTAATCAGCACCACTGTGGTGCCTGCCGGCCGGTCCTCATTAACATTCACTGTATAGTGGGAGCTCTGAAAGACGGGACGATGGGTGTTGGCATCGGTGACATTCACCACAATCTGTGCTGTGTCCTGCCTCGTGCCATCGGAGGCAGTAACAGCCAACACATACTGCCTCTCAAGTTTGTAGTCCAGTGGAAGGGCAAGGGATACCAGCCCACCACCACTTTGGCTGGTGATGGAAAAGCGGTTTCGGGTATTGCCACTGGTGATCTGGTAGGTAATGACACTATGGGCATCACGGTCCACAGCTGACACCGTCACCACGCTGGTGCCCACAGCTGCATCCTCATTGAGCCGCACCGTGTACTCTGGTTGGGTAAAGGTTGGATTATTGTCATTGACATCCAGGACAGTCACACTGACACTGGCCGAGGCAGTGAGCGCTGGAGTGCCATGGTCTCGGGCTTCTACCCCAAAGCTGTAGAAATCAACTTCCTCCCGGTCCAGCTCAGCAGCCACAGAGATCCAGCCTGTGCCGTTGTTGATGGTGAAAGGGAAGTCGTGTCCCACCCCAGCAAGGCGGTATTCCAGGCGGGCATTGTCACCAGCATCAGCATCGACAGCCTGGACGTGGAGAACCAGGTAGCCTAAGGGGACGCTCTCCAGGACAGTAGCCTGGAAAGGGGTGCTAACAAAGATGGGGGCATTGTCGTTGATATCCAGGACCTGCACTGTCACCAAGCCAGAGACATTAGAGAGTGGGGGACGGCCACCATCCTGTGCTCGCACCCGTAGGGTGTACTCCTTGGTCGTCTCATAGTCAAGAGGGCTCACCACATCCAGAGCTCCAGTCTGGGCATCCAGATAAAACTGTCCCCGAGCGTTGCCACTCATGATGCTATAGTGCACCAGGGCGTTGCTGCCCTTGTCTCGATCTGAGGCTGTGACTCGGAGTACTGGGGCCCCGGGAGTCACATCCTCCCTCACCTGGACCACATAGCGCTTCTCACTAAACTGGGGGGCATTGTCATTGTCATCCTCCACAGAAAGGAAAACAGCAGCTGTGGTACTCCGAGGACCTGGGTCCCGACCCTGGTCACTTGCCTCCACTGTCAACTGGTAAGATTCCACCTCTTCCCGATCCACAGGGCCACGGGTTCGGATCACCCCAGAGCGAGGGTCGATCTCAAAGACTTCAGAGGGGCTTCCCCCAGGCCCCTCCAACAGGCGGTACAGAATATTGGCATTGGGAGGGGCATCCCCATCTGTGGCCCTGACAGTGAGCACCTCGTAGCCAACCTCCAGATTCTCCCTGAGGCTCTCCTTATACTCCTGCTGTTCGAACACAGGGTCATGATCATTGGTGTCAGTAACCAAGATGGTGAGTGTGGCTAGGGCACTTCGTCGGGGCATGCCATGGTCCTGTGCCGTGACCCTGAAGACGTGGGTGCTCTTGGTCTCACGATCCAGCTCCTCGGCTGTGGTTACTGCACCAGTGATTGGGTCCAGGGAGAAGAACTGGTTGGAGCGGCTATCAAAGAGGGCATCCATGGTGTACTCAAGTCGACCTGCCTCACCCTCATCTGGGTCGATGGCCCGCAGGGATGCAACAGGAGTGCCTGCTGGCTGGTTCTCTGGCACTGTGGCCTGGTAGCTGGGGGGCTGGAACTGGGGAGCTGTATTTACATTCCTTTTCCGACGCCCACCCATGGACTCTTCTGGGGACCCTTCCCCTGCCATAAGCCCGGGGGCCTGTGCCAGCTTGCAGGACTGGCATCTGAGCCGTGGAGCCTTTAAGCACGGGTGCTCCTGGGGTAGCGTGAGCTTGCCTTGTGGGGAAAGGTGGCCTCCAATGCCCAGGAGGCGACAGCTCCAGGGGCAGCCTTCAGGGGCTGGTGGCAGGGGAATATGGGCCCCGGATTCTGGACACCAAACCCTCAGGCCATCGTGGTGGGGTACCAGGTGGCCAGTCAGCTCAGTGCCTGAATCCCTGCAGCGGCTGGTGTAGAGCCAGAGGTTCGATGCTGAGCCTGGACAGAGCCAGCCCGTGGAGGCGCAGGCCCCCAAGGAGCCGCGTCCCCTGGACCCCAAGGAACGACAGGGCCCCACTTGGTCTCCCAATAGTGGCGGCAGTAGCAGCAGCAGCAGCAACAGCAGCGGCGGCGGCGGCGGCGTTGGGAGGGGGGCGCCGGTGGCCGGGCTCCGCATCTCTCCCCGCTCCCGGCCGGCCGGGTCAACAGCGGCAGCGGCTCCTCCTCCGGCTCCTGCCGGCCCCGCCGGGCCTCATGCCCGGGCCTGGGCGCCAGTCCCCGGGGTCCCCCGTGCGCCCCGCGGGGCCTGCGCCTGGATGGCTCGGAGGGGCCCGCGCTGCCCCCTCCGACGCCCCCGGGCTCCCCCCGCCCCCGGAGCCGGACCCTCTCCCGGGTCACCCTGAGCACCACGAGCAGCCGCCGCGCCTCCACCTGCGCTCCGGGCACTCACCACCTGCGCCCGCGGGCCCCGCGGCGCCCCTGGCCTTGCCGGGTTCCGGAGCCGGGGTGCCCCCTCCGCCCCGGTGGGATCGCCCACCTGCGCCCGCGTAGCCGCGCGCCCCGACCCCGACCCGGCCCCGGCAGTCCCCGACAGTCCCGCGCCGCCCGCTCGCGCCCCTCGTCGCCGCCGCGGCTGCTGCCGGTCGCCGCGGCCCCGGGCCCAGCCCCGCGCTCCCTCGCCTCCCCGGCGGGCGGGCGAGCTCTGCAGAGCGGCGGCGGCGGCGGCGGCGGCTCATTACCATAGACCTGCTCGCGCCGCTGCCGCCTTAAAGCGGCGACGCCCGGCGCGCCTGAGGAGGTGGGCCCCACCCAGCGCACTTCTCCGCGCCAACGCGCCAGGATTCCCGCCAGCAGGACCCTCCATCCCAATTCTCCCAAGCCGGGCCCGCCAGATGCCCGGTGAGAATTAGCGATCGGAAGCCACACAGCCAATGATAGTCACGGTGGCAGTACCCTAAGTATGCCTAGAGGTTTCCAAAACATTTTAAGGGCTCTCAGAGGCCAAGTTCCCACTTCATGCCAATCATGAAGGCCCTAATTGCTGTCCCCTCCCATAGGTCCCGGGTCAGACTGAGCTAAAAGGGCTCTGAATAACACTACAAAGCCTCCGAAATCCCCCAGAAGCACCCACCATGAGCTACGGAGCCCGCCCCCTCCCTACCTTGCCCCCACCCCCCACCTCCACCAAGCGAGGCTGTGGTCTGACCAGCATGCAGCATGCCCCTTGGGGTCCAGTTGCTGGAAGAATGACCCCAGCCTCATCTTGGACACCACTTGGGCTTTTCCAGGGAGGTAAACTAGAAGGGTCAGAGCAAGTGGAAGCCACCAGGTGTAAACACACTATAGCCAGATTTGGAGGCTGGCTGCGGTGGAGCCTAGCTTTAACACAGGCTTCCTGGGTCCTAGACAAGGGGCTTGCACTGCCCTCGGGGGTCCTGTCTAGAAAGGCAGCCTCTCACCCCCTCCTGTCTCCCTGTCGATGTCCAGCAGGTACCCACTTCTTCCAGCACGGCTTCACGTACACGGGCTCCTGACCCTTTTCACTGCAGCTTCACTTGAGAGGCTGTGCGGGATTCCAGGGGTCCTCGGAGAGGTCCAGACATGAAACTGGACCACGAGAGCCAGGTAGGAACCATGCAGTCAGCCCAGAAAAAGCTACCCCATACCCTGGGGCAGCCAGGGGCCCAGTCAGGTGGTAGAGAGCTGGCCTGAGGGGAGGCCTGGGCCTGGGTCCCAGCCCTCAACCCCACAGCTGCGTGACCTTGCTCAAATTCTGTGCCTCAATGTCCCTTTTTGTAAAATGAGGAGATTGAATAAGGTGAATGGTTCTCAAATGTTTATTTAGCAGTAGAATCCTTTTCTTTGAAAGAAATCTGAAGTGGATTGGGTGCAGTGACTCATGCCTGTAATCCCAACACTTTGGAAGGCTGAGGCAGGCAGATCACCTGAGGTCGGGAGTTCGAGACCAGCCTGACCAACATGGAGAAAACCCATCTCTACTAAAAATACAAAATTAGCCAGGTGTGGTGGGACATGCCTGTAATCCAGCTACTCGGGAGGCTGAGGCAGGAGAACTGCTTGAACCCAGGAGGTGGAGGTTGCAGTGAGCCTAGATCACACCATTGTACTCCAGCCTGTCAGGGCCTTGCCCCTCTCCACCACTCCCTCAACCAAGAAACCCCTGGGCTGCTCTGTGGAACTTGAGGGTCTGGAGGAGGCCATCTGAAAAGCACTGGATCAGGTGCTCCCTTCTCACACTGCCCCCTGGTCACAGTGGTGCCACTCTCAGTGGGTCACAGCAGAGGACCCCACAACCCCAAGCCCAAGGAGTGTCTGTGTGACCACACAGTGAGGCCAAGGATGATAAATCAGCTTTTCTCTTTTTCCCTGGGGAAATAGGAAAGGAGATGGGCCTTGGGTACAGCAAGAAAGATTAGGGTTAGACTATGCTCCTGGCAGGATGGAGAGAAGTAGGGAGGAGGAGGACCCATGGCTCAGGGAAATGCCCTCCCGTTGACCAAACAGGAGCTTTCTTCCTCCCAGCAAGGCCAAGGGCAGCTCCGCAGGTTCTGCCTCTCCAGACTTCCTGAGACTCTGGAGTTGGGGAGGATCTAGGGGCTGCGTGGGCATTTTGTTCTTCACCTAATAGCCATGTGGTGCAGAGAATGCTTGGAAATTATACCATCTGTTAATTATCCTTTGAATTGGGGTTGGGTAATGAGACTCATTTCTGGTGAAGGCCCAAGCCAACCCATGGAGAAGCTGCAGCTCTCCATTCAGCTCTCTCCCTTTGTTGTGAAAATAAGCTTTCTGGGTGGGAGGGAAGAGTAGTCCTGCTCTGGATCTCGGAATGTGGTTCTGGAGCCTCCAGCTGAGGCAGGGGCTGCTAGGGAAAGCATGAGCACAGGAGCCCCCTCCAGGTGGGTGGCCTGTCCACCCAAGGTCGGACAGGTTGGGGGATCTAAGGAACCCTTCCCTTCATCCCCAAGCATGTTTGCCAAGTAGTCCTTAATCCTCCCTGGCCCTCCCTCCAGGGGCACAGGACAGAGCTCTCACCCCATCACTTCCTCAGATACTTCCACCTCCCAAAAGCAGGAGGGAAACTTCCAAGTTTCATATGCATCACTGGGAGTCTCAAATGAGGGAGGGGTTGCCCTGGTGGTGGCCTCCCTGATCCCCAGGGAAGGGCTGCCTGCTTCATGGAGCTTTCCAGTTGTAAAGAACCTATGGACTTCCCTCCTACATGGAAGGGACATTAAGCCTCCCTTCTGCTTAGCTTCTAGGTGCTATCAAAGGGCAGCAAGGGCTTTGGGTCTGTCAAAAGAGAATTGATTGTTCTTCTAGTACAAACCTTCCGCTTCACTGTGGAGGCTCTGGGAAGGAAGGGGAGCTGCTTGGCTAGCCTTGGGGCTGTCTTTTAGCTCTCATGGGATTTCCTCACTCAGGCTGCTTCCTGAGGGTTCCTTAGATAAGGCATGGCCCTGGCTCTCAACTCAACAGGGTTGCATGGGTGAAGTGCTCCAGGAGCAACTGAGACAGAAAAGGCTAAAGGAATTCAGAGGAGAGAGCAGTGAGGGTAGAGGAAATCTCAGAGGGCCTCCTGGAGGAGATGGGACTCGGGCTGCATCTTGAAGAATCAGGAACAGCATTCCTGGAAGAGGAATTCATCAGTTAAGTCACTTAACCTACAAATTAAGTGTCTTCTCCATGATTATGTAGCTAGTAAGGGAAGAGCTAGGATTTGGACCTAGGCAATCTGGCCCCAGAGCCCACGCTCTTAAGCAGTATACTATGAATGAATGAACTGCAAGCATCAGCTTGGCTGGAGCTGAGATTGGGGTGGCTCTGCTGTGGTCCAGCAGATGAGGGGCAAACAGGGGCCACATTGGGAAGAACAAGGTGAGCTCTGCCTTGGGCAGATTCTTGTGGGCTGAAATTCTGGAGCCAATGCCCTGCTGGGAAGGAGGGGCGGGAGGGGAGGCTGCTGATGGGTAAGGTCATGGTGACCTTCTGTGGGTGGGCAGGGTGCCTTCTCTGGAAGGAGAGAATGGGGAAGAGGACCTGACACCTGATCTCATTTCTGGGCTCCCTGCTGCTTTAGAAAGGGCACAGAATGCCAGGTGCAGTGGCTCATGCCTGTAATTCCAGTACTTTGGGAGGCCGAGGCAGGTGGATCATGAGGTTAGGAGATTGAGACCATACTGGCCAACACAGTGAAACACCATCTCTACTAAAAATACAAAAGAATCAGCCTGGCATTGTGGGGTGTGCCTGTAGTCCCAGCCACTCAGGAGGTGAGGCAGCAGTAAGCTGAGATTGTGCTACTGCAATCCAGCCTGGCAGAGAGTCTCAGAGAGCGAGACTCCTTCTCAAAAAAAAGAAAGAAAAAAAAAAGATAGGGCACAGAAAGAACCTGGCCATGGGGGGGGGGAGGCTCCTAGACATTGGGTGGCTTGAAGGGACCAGGAGCCAACAGACTTGGAGGTTGGGGGCGGCCAGAAACCTTAGCATCCTTTGGTCCACACTTGCCTGCCACGCCCCACCCACTGCCCCCCACTTTCTTCAAGGCTGGAGGGTGCACTCCTTGTGGGGGGCTCTGTTGTTTCTCAGCCCCCCACTTTAGGTCTGTCACAGATACCCAGTCAGGGTTTTACGGATTCTTCATGTGGTCACTTCCCCTCCAAACCAGTCTCTGCTCAGCAGCCCAAGTGATTTTTTAAAAAATCGAATAAACATGTTCTTAGGTTTAAAAAAATCTCCCCAAGTTTTTTTATTTGGGAAAATTTCAAGCATTCAGAAAAATTGAAAGAATGGTATAATGGCATAATGAATACCTGCTAGATTCAACAATTTTATTTTTATTTTTCAGACAGGGTCTCACTCTGTCGCCCTGGCTGGAGTGCAATGGTGTGATCATAGCTCACTGCAGCCTACACCACTTGAGAGCAGCCCCAAGCCATCCTCCCACCTCAGCCTCCTGAGTAGCTGGCTGGGACTACAGGCGCAGGCCACCATGCCCACCTTTTTTTTTTTTAGATTTTTTTTTGCTCTTGTTGCCCAGGCTGGAGTGCAATGGCGCAATCTTGGCTCATGGCAACCTCCGCCTCCTGGATTTAAGTGATTCTCCTACCTTAGCCTCCCAAATAGCTGGGATTATAGGCATGCACCACCATGCCTGGATAAATTCTGTATTTTTAGTAGAGATGAGGTTTCTCCATGTTGGTCAGCCTGGTCTCAAACTCCCAACCTCAGCTGATCTGCCCACCTCGGCCTCCCAAAGTGCTGGGATTACAGGTGTGAGCCACCGTGTCCTGCCTTATTATATTTTCTTAGAGATGGGGCCTTACTGTGTTGTGCAGGCTGTACTCAAACTCCTAGTCTCAAGTGGGATTACATGTGTGAGCGACTGTGTCAGGTGTCTGGATTCAATAATTGCTGACACTCTGCTTTATCTCTCTCAATTTTTGAAGAATGGGAAGAAAATGAGGTGCTTGAGCCGTGGGCCCCTCCACAGGCAGCTTCTGAGAGTCAGGGAATGCAGTTTTCTGGTTAAAGTGAATGAATTGGCCAGGTGCGGTGGCTCACGCCTATAATCCCAGCACTTTGGGAGGCTGAGGCAGGTGGATCACGAGGTCAAGAGATCGAGACCATCCTGGTCAACATGGTGAAACCCCG